AGTCATTTCTGCAATGACCGTATATTAGGCATAACCAAACGAAAGTTTTTCTGGGACAGATCAACTGATGGGAAATCGTATTTCCGCTCTAGTAGCAAAAGGCGCAAATTGTGCCAATAATCTTAAAAAAAAGTGTTCGTACAGAGAGATGCCCTCAAACTATTTTGACGACGATACTGATTGAATGATTCAATCAAAGAACTTGACTTGAATACACTTGATTTTTTCGCAAGTTACTTTTCATTGTATTATTTTTCCTTTCTTATATGCAGAACTGTCAATAAGTTAAGTTTTAAGTTTAAATAGACCGAAATCTTTGAATAAAAGATTTAAAAAATCGTTAAAAATTCGAAAAATTTCACTATTTATAATCACTTGCCTAAAACATCTTCATATATAAAGAAATCCAAGCCTTCTTCAGTAAAGTGACTACTGTTCGTTTCTTCCCACTTCTATTATTTATCTGCAATGCTTTTGAAAAATATTCTTCTTTCTGATTAGAAAGTTGCGATATCTTTCATATTAGCTTCACTGGAAAAATTCCGTTCAATTCACAGAAATTATTAAGGACTTAGGGCCTAAACACAGTTCGTTATTAAAGAAATTCAATCTAAAAATATTTTTTTTTTCTTCATAAAAAATTCTAAAATTAATTCCAGCACATTAGCGAAAATTTGAGACCATTGCACTTTAACACATTATAATGCATCGCCAAGCTGTTTGCTAATTCATTATGTAGATAGTATGTGTATTTGTAGAAAGCACTCAACCGCACACCAATAACAGTTCTGACTGTTGCAAAATGCTCAAAGGAAATTGTTTTAAATCATCGGGAAATCTAAGTAGAAACTGTCAAATGTGTCTCCACATTGTCTACACTTTAGTTCGTTTATAGGGAGGGCTACGCACACTTCAAAACACTTTTTGTTTAAGCTTGTGTATGGCTTTGTTGGAAACAGTGATAAATACCTCAAAAATATGCGAGGATATTATTTTGGAGTTTTTATGTCCAGCAGAAATTCGATTATGGTTCTCCTAAAGCTTGCTGATGTTTTGAAAGTTATACGGGTCTCTCTATATATTTAGTATACTATACTCTATATATAGTATAATCGAGGCGGGATTCCCTTTAGAGATGACGAAGATGAAAGATTCAAACATAATTAAATACTTCTACATCTCATAGTATAATTCTAATCCATGGAAATCAAGTCGCATCCACCGAAAAAAATATCATAGGTCAGCTCTTTATAAGTTTCCGGAGTGTCAGTATTCGTATAGAACAGCCCCTTAGTTGGTAGGTTTGGGTTGCAGGCTCTAATAAGCTGCATTATCTGGTTCGGCTGCGATGACGTAGCCGGGATCCATATCCTTGCCCTTGGCCGGGATCGAATGTGTTTTTTTTTTGTGAACCACTACCAGCCTGGCTCCGGGGTATGCCTCCCCAACAATGGTTTTTGTGGGCTTATAAAGCAGGGCCGATCACTTGTCATCGTATGTGACGGCAAAACCTGAGAAACTTAACATATACTGTTCAGGGTATAAAATAATATAAAAGCAAAGTCAAGTTACTGCAGAACAACAAAAGCAAAAACACTAATCCACTCCCGAAATGGGAGGAGAGGAACAAACGTTCAGTAGCAATTATAAATACAATGACGGACGCGCTGCTTGACGCGATTCCAGTTAAGCACACAAGAGATATGCAAGCGCTTTTTGATAGTCTTCAAAGCACTTGAAATGGAAAGTTCAAAAGCAATAAACTGTGTAGAGTATATAAAGTATGGCGCAAGCACGCGCTGACCGGCGTGTATGAAAAGAAGCGCCAAACTAGGTGTGAATAATATTTAGCTCCAATTCTTGCATTTGAAAGTTTTTTTTCTATTTCGTAAACTTTTTCGTCGACGGGGTAGTCTAAAATTAACAAAGAATAATATTTAATTATAATTCATTTGAGGAAGTTTTGAATGGTGTATATGCACTATTCGGTGTTTTACAAATGTTCTGTGCTCATTTTTGTGATTTCGATTGGGTTCTTTGGAAACATTGAAAGCTGCGCGAAAATGAAAGTGCAGAAGCTAAAGGACTTTTCGAGGTTTAGAGGTAATATTAAGGTGAGGATTTCGAACAAGATTTTCAAAAGCAAAGTTAAAAGAGACAAGAAGACATACCAACTTTAAGATGGTACGAATAAATTTTATTTTAAAACTGACTGTTATGCTTTCAAAACTGACTTTTTACGATAATTATTTTACGTTTTCATCTTTAAATGCTTTTTAAGAGATTTCGAAGGGGCGATGTGCTATTTGTTGAACCTACAGGTGGCTTGGTGCAGCTATGGTTCAGTTTCGAGAATTATTTGTCAATAAACCAGGATATAGTATTCAAAAGAAAAGCTTCTATAAATTCTTAGTTTCTTGGTTTAAACTTTTGTGTTTGAGACTATACCAAAAATAAATGGAAATTACTTTCAAGATTCTTCAAAATCTCCACCTTCCCGATTTTAATACAAATATTTTTCTGTACACTTACTTAACATAAATTTCAGTATATTTGAGTATTTGTGCCTGACCCAGTGCCCATTAAGAACTTTCACATTACAAAAGTAGTTGCCACATATTTTTGCAAATCTTTTGTTTTTCTGAATTGTATTGTTGCAAAATAGCTCAAAGTTATGCAATGCTGCAACGCCCTTTACACGAGCTTGCCCTTTCAAAATGAGGACGTCAAGGCGTCAAAAATATACATACACATATACAAATATAATTCTGGCAACCAAAACAACTTCATATTTAGAAAATTACACTAAGTAAAACAAGTTGGCTCATAAAAACTTTAGTGAAAGTGGCGGTGGTGTTGTTGTTGAGGGTGTGACGCTCGCAACTGAAGACCCCAGTAGTTGGACAGTTTTTTTCTTTTCTGAGTGAGTTCAAGTTAGTACTGATGCGTTAACATTAAATGAAGTGAATATAAAACAAATAAGGAAGAGCTAAGCTCGAGTGTAACCGAACACTTTATGCTCTTGCAACTTGCCAGGGTCAAAGCCGGGGAAATACCTTCAGCTGTAGGCAAAACTTGATTTTAAAACTGTTCTCTGAGTTTCATTAAGATACCCCACATACCATCACCAATATATAAGTAGTACAATCATATAGATGTTTTAAATCCTGGTATTAGTTTTATATGAGTCTATGGCAAATTTTCAACCGATTTTATCCAATTTAGGTACACAGATACAGAAACCACGCCCGCTCAATTTTATTAAGATTACTTACATGTTTAATCTTTCGATTAGGTATATGATGGCTCAGAGAATTATTGTTGCAATTCAAACCATGGTTGCAATTCAAACCGATGGAATTTAAAATTGTGTTATATGGGAAGGAGGTCATGTTAATATGAATACCGAATTTGGCTGAAATCGATCGAGTAGGTATCGAGTATGGGCTTTCACCCAAAAGTGGGCGGTGCCATGCCAGTCGTTCAAATTTGCTTCTATAACTCTCTGTCGTACCATCTCGGGTGTAAAATTGTATGTCTTTGGCGTTTTTTTTTTTTACAAATTTATAGCACCTTTAGTACTTTTTAACCTAACCGTTATATGCGAAGTGTGCGGGATTATAAACCGAACTCACCCATTTTTACAGAATTGGTGGGAATGAAAACAAGATTTGCCCTGAGCGAATTTGGTTTTTATAGCTTGAATGGTTTAGTAGTTATATACATTAAACTTATAAGAGGGCGGGGCTACGCCCACTTTTTAAAAAAATTGTAAACCTCATTACAATGCCTTGTACTAAATAACAGCCTTGTGTCTTATTGTGGAGCTAAGTTATAGCACTTTATAGATTTTCGTTTTGTGGGCGTGGCAATGGTCCAATTGAAGAAACATATGATTTTTCCTTACACATTTTTTGATAAGAAAGGCTGCCATAAGTCTGTGCAAATGAACAAAATGAACAAAACAAACAAAAAAACTACGACGCAACGGAAGAGCGTACAAATACTATCGATAAATGAGTACAAGAGTGTTGACCGACAAAAGAGCCGGTTCGACTGACATGCTGTGGAAGTCTTGTTGAGGCATTTTAATGCCCGTTGAAAATGCCTCCCACGTCACTGGCTGTCAATGTCGCATGCAACGTGCCGAGCGAAAAATGTGCACAAAACAAAAGCAACAAGAATACAGATGCAGATTCTTCAATAATCCATTATTTTTCCAATAAATAGAGTTATTTATCTGTATCTAGTGTTGATACCGATGGAGTTCGGCTAGATAATGTTAGAAAGATAATATTTCGTACTAAAGAAACTTTTCTAACAGATATGGACACTAGCAAAGAGAAAACACGCTATATTCTACAGTTTTCTTCGATAAGGATAAACACGCAAGCCAGGCGGCTGAAAATGTGAATAACGTTTATGGTCCTGATACTGTAACAGCTAATCATACGCAATTTTGGCTTCGTCGATTCCGTTCCGGTAATTTCGATGTCAAAGATGCACCACTCACCACATGCTCTGGAAGACCAATTATCGCAAAAATCCATCAAATAATAGAAATCGCCAATTCTAAACACCGATTACGATTGTACAGAACGTAAGCATTGCACAAAAACCCATTAGGAACCATTTGAATAAGGCTGGATATAAAAAGTAATAATTAAAGCATTCAGTTTCATGCAAAAATAATGGATTTATTTTTACTACTCCTAATATTAGTTTAATATATGTACATACTTTAGGCATAAGATTGGTTTATCAATTGAACATTGAAGTGCAATATCAACCAAATATAGGACGAACGCTCTCTTCATACAAAAAGCAAGCGAATAATTATAGCACATTTCTTCTACTCGAAACATCTCTTCTTACAATTTCGAATACACAACAAATATCATCTGTAAAATAAGACAAAAGAAAAGAATAATCAGCTGAAAAATATTACATAATAACACAAAAATAATGATCCGTGCGCTCATGCGCAACGAAAATCTTTATCAATTTATATTGAGGGTTTCCCTGACGTTATACCTCGTACATATTATTCATTACTTCTGATAATTTTCGAGTCATGGGTTTCGCAGACAATTCAGCATAATCAGAACTTTGTCATGTCTTTCCGATAAGCTTAAAACTCTCGATAATCTCTTCTTGGAAAAACTGATTAAACATTCATATATAAATATATTCGGTGCATAACGTTATATTGTTTTCTTCATCGTTCAATCAAGATCGTACTTGTAGCAAACCAAATATAAATAGAGGCTTCTGATATTTTCATCGTGCAAGTTGTGTGTTCGATTAGCTTGGTGAAAAATGGTGTACAAAATTTTGGTGTTACTCTTTTTCTTATTTTATTCTGGTAAAATAATGAATTTCGGATTAAATGCATAGTTTATAATTATTTCTTTTAGTTCCAATAGGAAATCCCCATAAAATAAATTATGTTTTTAGATGGCGAGAAGACCCCTGTCCTTTTATATGGAACCGCCCGCCTCATACTTCATTGGTGCCCCCTACTGAGATTCAATTTGAAAATACCAGATATACTGGTGGCCGACATCACATAATACCATTTGAGATTCTGCGTAACTTCTTTGTTTCTGCCGTGAAACAAAGCAGAATAGCAACGCGAATCGGACAATATATATCAGCATACATTTCTACAATAGCGGATCAATATATTTCCATTGGAGAATCTATTCAGCGTCAAAATCCGATTCCTGTAGACGCTGATGCTGTTATCGTCATTGATCCAGTGGAAGAAATGTTTGCCGCGCTTGCATGGTTACCCGGAAATATATTTATAGGGCCTACGCAGAACTTTCGTCATCATGACAATCCCCTGAACCAGAGAGGCGGAGATCCTGCAAATGCATTCGAGCAGTACGCAAATAGAATAATCAGAGACGATGCACACTTTACTGCTCTCGAAAATCTCAATCGTGATATGCAACTTTATACCCATGATCCCTTAAATGTAGCTTTGTTTCATCAAATAATGCACAATTTAGATATTATCAACAGTAGAACTAGTCCTTTTCCATTCGATGCGCGAGATTGGAAAATAGTAGACGGAAAGTTTTACATTCGAGACAGACGTAGAGAGAAACGATACCAAAATCAAATCCCACAACCACCAGTCGCACCAAACTCGGAGCCATCATCTGATGATAATGCTTTCGATTATTATGTTGGATTTTGTAAAGCGGTAAAGCAGCAATTAACGAACAGCCATTTTTCGGTCAATAAAAAATACATAGAAGCTGCCGACAAGATGACATTTGATTGTCCCAAAAATAGTTACATTATAGTAAAACAAGCCACCATAAAAACCATGCCTTTGCCAGTCGCTATTTTCACTCTCGGTCTAGCATGCATTACTGGTTACTGCGTAGAAGGAGACGGAACCGAAATAATAAAAAAGTTGTGTGAAAACAAAAGGTCATGCGTATTTTCATTACGCGACACAGGTGGTGTGGATGTAGATGTAGATTATTATTGCGCGGATAAATTAACAACTATTCGAGAAAGAAACAAATTGCAGGTAAAAGTAAAAAAAAGTGTAGAAAAATAAAATTTACTAATTTTTTTTTTCAGAAATCTAATCGCTGGGAATCGAGCGAATTTGAACTTAATTGTCCCTTGAATTATACCATTCGGATTAGTAAGGCAATGAGACACCCATCTGCTTATCTTCAGTGTATAGTTGATGATTGTAAAGAAACGGACATTACACCAATATTCCGTGAAAAATGTGACGGAGAAAATCCATGCAAAAACAAACTCGAGAATTGGGGCTTGCAACCAATAACCGTAGATTTTTCTTGTATTCCAAATCAATCCATGTTTGTGTGATGCTGTTAACAAGGATGAGTATAAAACTTGCCGCGCAATTTGAAACATAAAATAACCTTCAAAGATTATACAAAAACATATAAATATTTAAACGATGATGAGATGTTGTCAGTATGAAAAAACCTTTCAAATGTATAAAAAATTATAAAAAATGGATTAATAAGCTATTTAAATATATTGTTGTAAAGTTGAATTTTGTGAAAAATATGTAGTCTGTTATAAGTTTTTCACTCTTTTTATTGCCAACGGAGCGTCCAAGACACCACCATGCTACAAGGTGGGTAATTTGATGAATAACAAGTGAGAAGTTTCATACTCTTGCAACTCGTAAGGATCCGAGCTGGGGAAATACCTTCAGGTGGTAAAAAAAATAGAATTTTGCCTTCAATGTTCGACGAAACCGTGTTTTATGTATTAACTTACATATATTATAGGTCATAGACTAATAATTATATAACCATATTACACTTCCCGTCAGCGTAAATTATGTTAATATCATATTCAAATAAGATGTATCTAACATAAATACAACCGAAGCGGCTAACTTTAGTATATTGAGTTGATGTGAAAAACGTCAACCAGAGAATGGGATTTCATTACGTTAGTGGTATAAAGTTTAGTCCAAAGTCTAGATCAACGCCATTCATATACAGCGCTAGACTTTAAATATAATTTAATAATTTTAAAGAAAACTTGTCGACTTAATTTCATTAATATATGATACATTTGGATTAACCTAAACAATTTAAAGTCAGCTGGATAGCGAAAATCACTATACAGCGTAAAGTACATCTGGGCTTATTGCTTTAGCCTTTGACATTGCTTGGGTATACTCGGGAACATATTTTCAAGCAGTTTATAAATATATAATTCATACACTGACCCATATATTCAGCATAAGGTCTGTTAGAATAACGAGAATCATTATACAGTTGTATGTAGTATAAGATAGTTACAGATATTTTCAGCATTAAATTATAGTATATACAATATGTTCAGTTAATTTTGCTAAGATATCTTAGATTTATTATTTTATTAAAATATTATATAAGGTATGTGAGGTAGTTGGGGGTAGTATAGACCCTATTTAATCTAGTTTCATTATTATTATATTATATTAGGTCAAGTAAAAGGTTCGTTCGGTTTTTTATAGATTTTTCAAAAGATGATAACTTTGTGTACATTTGTCCGATTTAAGTCAAATATGAGCCGGTTGGTTTGTAAACTTGTTGCCAACGAGATGCCAACTTCATTATACCCCTCTCGTAGAAGGCTGCGTCCCTATTGGCAAAAAACTTAGAGAGCCAATTTTCACAAGCCTCTCTTGAGGCCAACTTCTTACCATTAAGCGCGTTCGCCTTGGACAGAAAAAGATAGTAATCACTTGGTGCCAGGTCCGGACTATCCGAGCTCCCGGAACTTCTGGTGCGTCACCAAAGACGTGTGTGGCCTGGCGTTGTCCTGATGGAACACAATTCGGCCTCTGTTGATCAGAGATGTCCTCTTCTGGATGAGTGCTGCCTTCAAGCGGTCCAGTTGTTGGCAGTAGAGGGCCGAATTGAGCGTTTGATGATAGGGGAGCAGCTCGTAGTAGATGATTCCTTGCCAATCCCATCAAACACACAGCAAAACCTTCCTGGCCGACAATCCGGTCTTGGCCACCTAACCATAGTGAGGAATTTCAAAATCACACCACCGTGATCGGAGGTATTAAGGTGCCCATACTCCTAATTGGAGATTCAGTTTTTAAATTATAAGAAATTGTTATGAAACCATTTCCATTTTTAACCGAACAACCGAAAAGTGAAAAAGAATTCAATTAACGTATTTATATATAAATAATACTATAAAAATAAACAAAAACAGGTCTGGAAGTCAGTATAAAAAACGTTAACATAATTGTAAAGACTTGTTGCGTTTTACATAACATATGCAACAACAGAAATGATAACTTTAATATAGTATATTTTAATATATTACATTACAATAAGACATATTTTTCACACATTTGATATTCTTAACATTTTTTTCTCTCTCGTTAAGTACTTTTATTTAATATAGCCAAAATAATGGTGTTGGTTTGTTCTATTAAATCAAGAGCCTTCTCTTGGTTTTTAATAGGTTTATTAAGATATTCTTTCATTATCTTTTGTTCCTTTTTAGTGAGTTCGGGGAAGTCTTCATCATTGTTTCTCTTTCTCTTTTTTGCAGACGACGAAGTGGTCTTCTATTTCATCATCATTTGCCAACGTGTCCCCCGAACCAATGAAACGGAATCTGTGGAGTAAGAACTTTTTAATCATATGTTTATATGTACATACATTCATGTATTTGTTTCCATTGATATACGTATGTATGTACACATGTGCATACTTATAATATATATATATAAATCAATTTAAAAAAACCTCTGTCAATGCTCTCTTCCGCCAGTTCTTGAGTGAAGTTGGATTTGTAGGCGCCTATTATTTTGTGATCGTCTTCGTAGTATTCTCAATTTGATTCTTTCCTGCCTAATATATTTTATTAATATAAATGTTACTATTTTGTGGAATTGTTTACAAACCTGTACTTCTTTGCCAAATTTTTTATGCGATTTCGCAGTTCCATGTTCATTTTCCAGCTGCGTGCACATTTTAGCATAAATATGGCTATCATTCCACGCAGCTGTTGGTTATATTGAGCCCACACTTCCATTATTTTTTAATGGTTACGTTTCCAACGTACTTTTTCCTTTTCCTTTTCATTGTTATTTTTTCCTTTTCACGTTTGAATTTAAACTCTTTTTGATAAATGTCAAAATGGCTGAAAACATATGATTATGACAGAATAGCTTAAAGCTTTGGGTGTATTCAGTGCAATCCATCGTAGTACATTGCACAATACCACACAATTTCTGTGGTTTCTTGAACACCATTGTAGTACAGAACTCCGTTTGCTTTGGAACAAAAATAGAAAATACGGTTGACACACATATGGTTTCTGTACCATACTACAATATGTACTATATGTATATCTCTGGCATAACAGAAAAATATGCTCACTGAGTTTCGTTAAGATACCTCATAGGGAGTGAAATCAACCGAATGTTGAAATATACGGATATTAGTTATATAGGAAATAGGGTAGATTTTATCCATTATACATTATTATATACATTATTTTAATTTTATTAAGATAACTTACATATTGGCCGTTATTTGCGGTATAAAGTCAGCCGGAAGTTCCAAAATGTTTCTATTAGGTGTATGGGGACTAAAAGAATTATTGATCCGATTCAACCCATTTTTGAAATAAAGGCATAATATTATCAGAAAAAGATTATTTACGAATTTCTACAATATGCATCACAGATTGACCGATACTCTCTATAAAAAGTTTGCAATAGGAACTGGGGTTCACATATTCAGTACCTAGGGGCTTGAACAGTAAAGTTTTACGCCGATACAATCATTGCTGCTTGATTTGCATACTGGAGAGTGAAAAAATGATGTTATATGGGAAATGGGCGTGGTTGTAATCCGATTTCGTCCATTTTCATAATATAACATAGAAATATGAGAAGAATATTATGTACCGAATTTGGTCGAAATCGGTTAAGCAAATCCCAATATATAGGTTTTCACCTAAAAGTGGGCGTTGCCACGCCCACTGGCTAATTTTTAACTCGGTTCCTATAAAATCATCTTATACGATCCCAGAGATAAAATTTAATGTCTCTGGCTTGTTTAGTGATTGATTTATCGCACTTTTAGTAGTTTTTAACAGTACCGTTATATGGGGAGTGGGCGGGGTTGACACCCGATTTCACCCATTTTCACACCGTCGATAGAGATGCTAACAATATTTGTTTCCAGTGAATTTTGTTATTATAGCTTCAGTGGTATAGAAGCTATGCACATTAAGCTTATAAGGGGTCGGGACCACGCCCACTTTAAAAAAAACTTAAACTGCAGATGCCTCTCCATAATGTGATCGTGCATACCAATAAAAGTCTTGTATCTTGATCTGAAGCTTAATTATGGCAATTTATTTGTTTTTTATTAATGGCGTTTTTTGGGCGTGGCAGTGATCCGATTACGCCTATCTGCAATACCAACCGTCTTACGGTACCAAAAAACATGTGTACCAAGTTTCATAAAGATATCTCAATTTTTAATCAAGTTACAGCTTGCACCGACGGACGGACGGACAGACAGTCACCTGGATTTCAACTCATCTCTTCATCCTGATCATTTACATATACTATATAAACCTATATCTAACTCGATTAGTTTGAGGTGATACAAACAACCGTTAGGTGAACAAAACTATTATACTCTGTAGCAACTAGTTGCGAGAGTATAAAAATAATGATTCGTCCGTGCGCTCATGCGCAACTGAAATCTTTATCAAATTACATTGGGGTTTTCCCAACGTTATACCTCGTACATATTATTCATTACTTCTGATAATTTTCGAGTCATGGGTTTCGCATACAATTCAGCATAATCACAACTTTGTTATGTCTTTCCGATAAGCTTAAAACTCTCGATAATCTCTTCTTGGAAAAACTGATTAAACATTCATATATAAATATATTCGGTGCTTAACGTTATATTGTTTTCTTCATCGTTCAATCAAGATCGTACTTGTAGCAAACCAAATATAAATAGAGGCTTCTGATATTTTGATCGTGCAAGTTGTGTCGATTAGCTTGGTGCAAAATGGTGTACAAAATTTTGGTGTTACTCTTTTTCTTGTTTTATTCTGGTAAAATAATGAGTTTCGGATTAAATACATAGTTTATAATTATTTCCTCTTTTAGTTTCAATAGGAAATCCCCAAACGATAAATTATGTTTTCAGATGGCGAGAAGACCCCTGTCCTTTTATATGGAACCGCCCGCCTCCTACTTCAAGTGTACCCAGTACTGAGATTCAATTTGAAAATACCAGATATACTGGTGGCCGACATCACATAATACCATTTGAGATTCTGCGTAATTTCTTTGTTTCTGCCGTGCAACAAAGCAGAATAGCGACGCGAATCGGACAATATATATCAGCATACATTTCTACAATAGCGGGTCAATATATTTCCAATGGAGAATCTATTCAGCGTCGAAATCCAATTCCTGTAGACGCTGATGCTGTTATCGTCATTGATCCAGTGGAAGAAATGTTTGCCGCGCTTGCATGGTTACCCGGAAATATATTTATAGGG